ACCCTATTATCGTAACAATGTAGTGCTTCAGTTTCTGTCGACGGCCTGTAGTGAATCTATAGTTTCTCGCCGAAAAGTTTTCAATAAGTGTGAACGAGACTCAAACAGGGCGCCCCGTAGACAAAGGAAATTCACGTTTGAACTTTTCTCTGTCCTTATCCAAAACATTGGATGAAAAGTCAATACATACGATTGTATGTAAAAAGACGAAAAAATAAAATAGGTGCGAGGTGTCGACGATTGTGTAATGGCGAAGACGAACTTTCGATTGAAAAAAATATATAAGGATTTTAAAATCGTGTGCATATCCTTGAAACTGTGTATGCCAATGGTTAAGTTAAACGGGTAAAACCGTAATTATGGTGCTGAGCATTGCGTAATTGTATGCACTGCTTATACAAGAAAAAAGAAACGCATAACTTGCTCTCTGATTAGTGTTATTTTGATGACCATACGAAAAGAAAAAGCTTTCCCTCTGTTAACCCCTATTACCCGCTGATAATCGCATTACATAAGGATAAAAATTAATCTGAGTCAATGCGTTGTGCCTACTATACACAGTAAAATACAAGAAAGTTTCTTTTCTTATAATTCGGTATTATTCTTATCTATACCATATTCAAACTAAACGTAATAAGTATACACATAGACCGCGGATTTTAAAGGACAACGAAAGGTTGAAATTTAACCACTGAAAATAATAATAACTAATAAGGATTTTTAGAAAACAGCAAGAAAAAGAGAAGTTTTTTTTTTTCTCGTGCAGTCGAAGAAAACAGAAGGAAGCCGTGATCATTATTCGAGATGAAACGGCCCCCATTTTGAACTTCAGTTTCCTCCGGTTACTTACGTAACAGTAGCCTCCATTTTATGACGTTATCGTGCACGTGCCATATGAGGCTGGTCATGTTCCACTTTGCCACTTTCTGCAGTCCGCGGAAAAGTAAGGTAAATCTTTCGTATTAATAACTGTATTGAAAATGGAAAAACATGGAAAAGTGCATTGCGCAGTGACGTCACAACGTGGCGGCTGACATTCCTTTTATGGAGGTAACCGGTAGAAAAGAAGAAAAGAATAGAAATGTCTGGTAAATTGGTGTTCAGAGTGAACAAATTTTTACAATTTTTACAATATCGCCCGAGGCAAGTAATAGGTATAAAACACAAGATGAGTCAGGACTTTACTGAGATACTCACATGATCTGAAGAACAAAACAACAATTTTTTTTTAATTCCTATTAAAGTCAAATCAGTAACTTTTTCAATCAACCAGTGCACGTAATATTTCTCTTTAAAGCAGTCCACTGAACAGTTGGTATGATATCAATTTTTTTTATCTTACTTTCCGACCAGTTTATGTGAAGGAATGCAGTCTTGCGGTGAAGCCAACATCATGATTACCATACTGATAGAGCCCACTGATTGATGATAGGCTTAGCTGGAGCACGCGGAAATGATATAGGACAATACAATATCTGCCCTCAGGTTATATTACCTAAGGGTCACTAAAAGCTGAACAAAGAGGTCCTTGGCATGCCTTGAAACCTATGACATTGACTGACCACAAAGTTAAGAGGTCATTCGTAAACGCGCGCCGCTACGTTTTCACGGGAGAGGTTTTGTGGTTCTGTTGTTGCACTTGCTCACTTTAGCGTTCGGCTACAATGAAACTTATTTACTTAGCCATAGCTGTACTATTTACCGTGGTAGAATCAGGTGAGAAACGATTGCCTTTTAGAACAGTTTTAGAACTGATAGACAACTTTCATTTTTTCCGTGTTTGTTAATTTGTTGATACTGTTGATAGACGACTTACGACCACTCTGAGAGCGTGGTCGATATTGCGCTGTGTTTAGGGTTTAAATCAAATTAAAAGTATATGTAGGATCGCTTATCATTGTTTACATTCTGGATGTAGGTTGTTGTCTTCAGTGCTACAGCTGTGTAAATCCCACTGGCCAGCTATATTCACCTGCTCAGTGCAACACAAGTCAAGTGAATTTCACATGTGTTGCTCCTAATGATACATGTCTTGACGTCCGTGCCAGGTTTTCGAATTACGCCGGGGACGAGGTGGAAACAGAGGTACAACTGAAAGCGTGTGGAACGAAAGAAGATTGCAAACGAGTAGGGAACAAAACATGTACGAAAACAGGAGGGAAGTGTAGATATACTTGTTGCCAACACGATCTATGCAATAATGACAGCCTCGCTAGTAGTTTGGATGCTCTCAAATGTTACCATTGTGAAGGACCCGATGGAAGTATTAGTCACGTCTTTAATCATTCTACGCCCCTCAAGGTGTCCTACACCGCACGTCAGTGTGAAGCCGAACAAAGGGAAACCTACTGTCCCAGTGAATATAAGTGTGCCAGAGTCCAAAGAGTATTCCGACCGGATAACCATACTTCTTTCGAGGTGGAGAGTCGTTCATGCATTTCTGATGAAGAGCTTTACGCTCTCCAAAACGTTTGTGATCGTACTGAACACACACTAGGAAATGGAACGTCGCTGTGCTTGTTTGTTGCTTGCGACAGAGATTTGTGCAACTTGGCTTCTTGTGTTAACTTGGCGCCGTTCTTCATCGCTTTTTCAACCATGTTTGGTATGCTCAGTATGCGATGAGAAGTGGTTCCCACAAAAAGGTAGGTCCGCGAAATTAACCGGTTACTGAAATCTAAATTCGTTTGCAAAAGGCTGTCCAACTGTAGTGTAGTTGTAATTTACGGTGTCACTGAGGTGCTTTGAATTCACAGCATAAGCAGAAGTCCTTTTAAAAAAGCTCAATTTCAGACTGTAATAACCAGGTAGGTTTTTTGTTGCCAGCAGCCTTGATAGTTTGATGAACAAGTAAACAAACTGTCTACTTCAACATTACTTAAACTACACACCTGTTAAATTCCTTTAGTTTTATTTCCTATGTAATAAAACGATTACAAGTGTAACAACCGAGTGTCTTTCTCTTGATGAATACCGTTTAATAACAAGAACACTTCGCCGACTACATCTGACAACGTGGCACTATAAGCGATGTATGCGCATGTGCAAAACTGAACTATACTGGAATTGTCGGAATGGTGTACTGGATATTACAACAAGTCATTGCTTTTCTTTTACTCTTTATGTTAACCGTTAGGCTAATATAATTGCATCATTTCCTCTCTGTTCGCAGGAACCGCTTGATGTGTGAAATTAATGTGGTGGGAAATATTACGAATGTGTGATGCAGCAAGCTGGCTCACAATGCAACTATGTTTTGCTTGCAAACAAGTGTTAGTTAGGCTTAGGAATATGATTTTATAAAGGGAAAAAAAACGTAAGTGAAAACAAAAAGTTGAACTTATAGTGGACCCAAACAAGGCATTAACTGCTGAGGGAGTGTGTTGTTTGTGTGTTGACCCTTGTCAGTTTAAGCTCAGTGTTTGCACTTATTAACAAGTTATATACGCTTTCAGTTGATTAAACTGTTTTATTAAATCCCTGACTTGAGTTGTTCTTGATTATAATAAACAATTTTTTGTAATATTGATGTCCAGAATAATCATAACTAAAGCAAAATCTTCGAGTCTCATTGGCTCACGGCACGCCGTATTTTTCACTAAACCTGAGTGGAGCGCGAAAGAGCGCAAAGGAGCTCGAGGAGCTTTAGGTGTTGAAAAGCAAAACTCTCCTAACGCTTTCTTTATATTTTCCTAAACAATTCAGAAATGGCTTTAACTCAGGGAGTGTTGTCACAGAGTTGATAGTTTGTTACTGAGATATTTTTCTAGTTATGATCAATTGGTAGCACGACGTCGTACCGTTCAATGACTTTTCACCCCATCATCTTTGCCCCGAAGCCAGATCTATCCGGGATGGTAACAGCTGTCATTAGGGTTGTTTATGTTGGCTTGGAAAGGGAAAGGGGGCGATGGAGCAGTAGAGGTAGTATATGAAGGTTGTGTCAAGTACGTTAAATAAAACTTAAAGAAAACATATATCTAGAAGCGAATAGAGAAGAATGGCCCAATTCTTGTCGCCAATAGGATCACATGTTATCGGTACGTGATTTGGCTGCTTATGTTTACTTCACCCTTATCTTTGCCGTAATTCGTTTGCAATGAGAAGATTCGCCGGTAAAGGTTCTTAAGTATATAATAAAATAATAAAAATAAATTAATATTTTAACAGGAGGCCTCCAATCACCTATAGGTGGTTTTCAGGAGGGTCCTCTAAAAAATAAAAGTTTAAAACATACATTAAATGTCCAAAATACAGAACTAATAAAAGCTAAAAACTAAGGTTAAAACTTAGGCTTAAATCTTAGGGAGAAACTTAGAGAACATTTGTAAACGAAACTCTCGTCCCTCGTCAGTAGCTCAATTAAGTGCTGTATATTGAATATTTTGGTGAAGAAGCAAGACTCTCTTCGTACAAAAATAATACTATAGGCTGACTCCGCATCAGTTCAACTCAACTAACATGTCACAATTTATAACTTTGGATCCTTCTAAATTAGCGAAATGAAATAAATTGTATACTAGCAGAAACAAGAATGCATGGAAAACAGTGCTGCCCTACAGAGAAATTAGAATAGCTAGAGACCGAGTAGAAGAAACGTTAACTAAGAAGAAAACAGTGGGGTTTTGCTTATGTTTGAGGATATCTCAACTGTCAACAAGCTACACACTTTAATAGCGCCTGGCAGTAACTTAACAATACTATTTCATTAGGGCATCACTAGCAAAGCATCCACAGCAAAAATTATTTTGAGTAACGGCCGGTCTAGCTAGCGCGTACAGCGAACAAGGCAAGAATGATTACTCGTTTGAGGGAGTTTCTCTTTCAAACATCCCAGAAATTTGTTCAGACAGTTTGCTGAATTAAAAATCCATCCGTTTTTAATTACTTGTTTGAATAACGTGCGTGAAGCCTAGAGTTCAGGAGTCACACATTTTACGGTAAAGCGGCTTAGAACAAAACAGACCTCAGCAGTTTCTAGAACAACGCTTTGACGTCACGGAGCTGAGAGAACACAATTCAAAAACATTTTTCTGTCACAATTTACCCCATGATTTGCAACACTATGGTCGAACTGACATAAAACCGTAATCAACTGAACATGGACGAAGAGAACGGAGTGTTGCCTTGATGGCCATGAGCCAGTCAACCTTCCATTCATTAGTGTGCAGTTCTTGAAAGTTATATGACAGAGAGATGTCTAGTGATGTTTTATTTCAATCCATAATCTATCAGACAAATGCCATGGAATCAAACACCGCTTGGATTAGACTGTTTTATATTGTCTTTGTGATGGTTTTCTTAACGACACGCACAGGTCAGGGTTTTGCTTTATCGTACAGTATTTGTATACAGTGACTGCGCAGTCCACTGATAAAACCGGCATTGCAACTGTTTTAAGTAAGTACAGTCGATATCAGTTCTCTCTGACTGACATCTCCATAACACGGCCACCTTTTCAGTTCACTTCAATTCGTCCCAGAAAAACCATAATTCATAATTATATCTCTATAGCTCTATAGAAAGGAAACCTCCTTAATACAGAATCTCGGCTCTGTCCTCTTTGTGTTCCAGAAAGGGTTCAACTGTGTAGTGTGCATCGTTTGCATATTTTATATTGCCGCAAAGTGGTATTTTCACTGGGGTATTGGTCTAAAATGTTTGGCTACAGATTGTTATTGTTATTCAAGTTCAGTCGTTCAACCAAGGCTATGTAGCTATTCAAACGTTAAATGGTCAGTTCTTACACAGAAAGTTTGATTAAAGCCGTGGAAGCACGGTCACCGGCCCTACAACCAATACTTTATATTAAAATCCAGTTTCTCTCGTATTTGCTCTGTTATCAGTTGTTATTGTTGTGAAACACTACCTTAAGAAATTTATATTATTAATATAATTGCCCATCTACAAGCTAAATGTTTACCCTATATGTATTTGTTATTGGTGCTCCTCATGTTAACTCCAAAACATGACTGGTTAAGATCTCTAGTTTCTATTTTCTTGCAGCAAGCTGCCTCAAATGTTACGAATGCAAGGGACCAGATGACGGCCGACCATATCCAAAATCAATATGCGAAAACGAGCTAAGAGAAGTTACGTGCGCAAGCGATAACTACACATGTGGCACTTATCACCACAAGATCAAATCAGGAGCGTTGGTAAATGAAGTGGAGGCAAGATCGTGTGTAGCTGACTGTCGTGATGTTGAGTCATCGTGCAGAGGTATCATACTGGCGGGTGGAGAATGCACTTTCTCTTGTTGTGACGAAGATTTGTGTAACACTGGCACTAAGATAATATCTCAACTGCTCCTCACCGCTGGGGCATTCGTTTCTGCCGCTGTTTACTTGTATAAATTTTAATATGGTGAGTGGAGGGCAAACGAATGATTGTAAAAATGTCAGATATACTTCATCGTTTTTGTCAGCGTCTTAATTTACATTTGTCTAGTTTTTAATACTGCATGATAAGTCTGATAACGAACTTGTTTTGATACGCTTTGTGGTTCTTTGATTCTTATTACATCATCTCAAAATGATCCGAATAAGAAACTTATTATTTTCTCTTATTTTCAGTATAGTTTCACCATTAGTTACATTGAACCAGCCAGACAAATATGTTAGAACAAATCGGCGGGTCTCGATAACTATGGTATCTCAGAGAGCACGTTAAACTTCAGTTATCATTTGAAGTATTGATTCCGTGACCCATATTGACTTGTTGCAGTTAGCAACGATAGTTGTCGTCTGGAAGCGCTATTAATGCTTAATACATTAAAAATTTTCATGCTTGTGACGCTTGGTTAACCAAGAAAATCTTGGTCACGAAACAGGTGTTTATGCATGTGTTAAGGGATACCGTTACAACCGTTTTGCTGTATTTTTGTTTGCAAGTCCAAAGGTGCAGATATCAAGTGAATTTGAAGGGAGTGCGGCTTGTAAGTAGATTTTAACAATTTCTCCAAGATTCAACGACGAAAATGGAAAACGTCTGCCAGACTTTTCGATTTCACAACCGAGTGCGTGTGTTAACTTATTATAACACTCTTTTATAGTTAGTGCGCTTATGTAGATATTTGTAATAAAGCTAGACGATTATGTTTAGGTTTCCGGCTAACAATATAGTCTGTTTAGGTTTGACTTTTAGAAGCTATTCTCATGAGTAGCGCCAATGTAAAAAAGCACTAACCGTGAATCGCTGGATTACCACTCGTTTATTGATCTCTGTACCAGTTGTCCTAACTACAGGCTATGTCAGGGATTTTGCGGTAATGAAAGGTTACAGTGAAACACATTCCGGTGCAGTTGACGGAAGGAATTCGTTGTCTAGCCAACTTCTTACCTGAGACTGTTCGTCAAAGTACGACTCAGTAGAGCTGCAACCTTTAAGCCTTGCTTTGCAACTGACTACAGGGGTATTTAATATAGCAACGGGAACGAGTCTTCTGTGTACATATCCATTACTACTGACTAAGACAAAGCAAATCTCTTGAAGTGGTCTAGATATTTTGAAAGGAAGTTGTGTTAATATCTGAGCTCAGTGTTACTAGCCCAACTGCAGCGGAATATGCCGGCAAGTACGGTAACGTGAACTAAACGTACAAGTTAACAAAACAAACGTTCAACTCTGACTACAATGACAAAAATCTTAAATAACGAATTTCACTTCGTAACACTTGTGTTGTTCCCAGTATGATCCAGGTCAGAGTGGTGTGACAGAAAAGCTATCTTTCTACTGATATACTACAGCAACTGAAAATTCAGTTTGACAATATAGTTAGATGCAGATATGTCACATGACTGACTACAAATAATTATATCATAACCATCGCCCAACTTAAAACAGAAATCAACCACTGCAGTACTTCAGGTGCGACCATGTCTCCCTTGTTACACAGCTCCGAGTTACAGCACGCGAGTTGATAGTCCCAGCCGAACATTTCTGCGTGCTCGAACCTTTTCTGCAACTCATCGCAAAGCTTCTCGTTGGCACAGGCTCGCAATTCATGTTCCATCTTGCTGCCATCTTCCATTTTTCTGCTCTGGTGTGCTTTAACACATTTGTCAAAGTTAGGGTAACATGTGGTCTCCGTTTGATTTTTCTCGCATTGCTCAGGAGTAAAGGACTTTCCCTCGGCGATGGCTTGGTATGGACTGCAGAAGTAACATTTCAAACAAAAACCTGATAAATTAAAGACAAAAGTAGTTAAATGCGTATTTAAAATTTCTTCACAATGTAAGCATTATACATCTCACAAAAGATACAACATAGTGAATTATAAAATTCTAATGGAGTAAAACAGGATCTTGAATCTTCGTCTTATATCAAATCTTCGACAAGAGTGTATGAAGCCAGAGAATTAATCCACCACATCAGCCTTATATTCCTAAGATAGTCTCTAAATTTAGTTTTAGATCACCCTCGGTATTTAAACAATAGCCTCCATTTGGTGCGAAAATATCCACGGATATTTGTCCGCTGACGTTATCTGTTCGGCATTATCTGCACGACGAACAGTGTGAGCCTTGAGGAACAGATAATGTCCAAGGACAAATATAGGAGCATATTTTCGCGCCATATGGAGCCTATTGTGTTTATTATCCTTCAAATATTTTTCACAAGACGCGCATTTTTGAAAATTGAGGAATATCACTTGGATATTCTCCAGTTTTAGCTGGGGCATATCCAGTCACTTGACTTGTTTAGAACAATCGCGCGCAAGCGAAAATATTTGATAGATTATAACTATAAATAGCCACTCTTGTGACGTGAATGATCTCACATGGACAGCCTTAACGCCTTCACACCCGTTTTCATTTCCAAGATGCAATGCAACACGCGTAGTAGCATTGTTCGCGGGAGAGCTGGGTACTCTTTCTGAAAATAACTTGGTAAGATGTACGTTGAGAATAAGGTCTATATGAGGGACAACCTCCCTCACCCTTCATCTTCTCTTAAAAGCTTCCAATCTTGCATGTCTATCATTCATGTTTCTACTATAGCTCGCCTTCCAAGTAAAAAGAATGTTTTAGAGTAACCATATCGCGAAAGAAATTATAGGAGAGACAGCCGGCGAGCCAAGCTGATATACGTTACTTCAGTAATGTTAAGAACGGCACACAATTTAAAACAAATCATACGCGCAGCGCAGTTCAATAGACAATGGTGTTAATTATTTTTCCTCTGGGTCAGTATTTCACAAACTCATTTTTTTTAAAGATAACCAAGTGACCCATAACGGCAATTTAATTCATTTTCTTAAGTTCCGTTTCAAACGAAAATTTTAATGACAGCCACTTTGTAAAATCTCCTTCCTGTGTCTTAACAAATCCGCAGGTGGTCTGAACTTTTCCGCTCGAAATGATGTTAACTCACTCGACTTAATTTGTACGAGCCAAAATGCACAGAAAAACCTAGAAAATAACTAGCGAGTTATCTCCTCGCGGCTACCAAACAAAGAAAAAAAGTAAAAGCCAGTGTATAGTTCCTCAAAATATTAAATAGCGCAGCAAATGTTAGACGGATATCACTAATGCTGCAAGGGGCTAACCAATTCTTCTACTAATTAAAAACGGGTAAGTATACTGAGTAAAAATGAAAAAATCAAAACAAAACAAAAATAAACGGCCCAGCTTAACAGCTAAATTTTTGCAAAGGCCACTGCTACTAATGGTAGTGAACATTCCTTATTCCACGAAAAAATTCTTACAATTTAATTGCCAAGGAAATGAGTTTTAACATGGCCGTGTTCACCTGGAGGAATTGTTCAAAATAAGTCAAATAAGCTGCAGTGTCAATATGGAATTCCTAAAATTTACAAACTTACCATCAGACATGACCGAAACACAGATGGTGAGAGCGAAAAATAACTTTTTCATGGTACTGTAAGCTCTAGAAGACGCTGTTAAGTTGACGAAATTTGACCTCGCAATATCCTGACGTCAATGATCGTTTTATTGACTCGTTACCTCCCAAAAAAAAAAACAAAAAACAAAAAACACCAATTCCGCTTCACATTTAATACCTAACCGGATATTGTAAATGATTCTATATGCTAATTTAGCCCTGTGGCAATACAAAATAGATCAAATAATTACAAAGTATTTTGGCACTGTTTAAATACCCCCTGCGGCCCCCCACCCCCCTCCAAAATAATAATAATAATAATAATAATAATAATAATAATAATAACAATAACAATAACAATAAAAATTAAATTAAAATGAATAAAAAAAATTGGTTTGATTTTACCTTTTAACTGTCACAAAATCGAAATGTGTAAAACAAACTTATGTGACATTACATAGAACTTGGTAAAGGAATCATTTATAGTATGAACTACTCAAGTAACAACTATCTTCTGTAGACTATAATACGTGGTCGCTTTCCGGGCTTGCAAATAGTAATTGTATTTGACAGGTTATGTCGAATCCAGTTCTACGAGAAACTACATAGAGCAGACTGTTCTATATCATATACTCCAATTATTACACAAAGTCATCGCAGAAACATACGAATTTACACGGAATACAAAACGACTCTTTCATGTACAAGTGACAAATCGCGGAGGAGGGAAACAAGTACTCTTTGCCGTTTCGCGAGCGAAAAAAAAAAAAATGTGATGCTCATGCAATCACTTCTATGGTGGATCATAGATGTTTCTTTTCGTCGCCACTGTTATCGGTATTCTTTCAACACCGCTGTAGCACTACAGGTGAGTCAGAAGGAAGTTGCCCTCTGCATACGGAAATAGGCTTTAAATTCATCCAAAGAATACGTAGGGATCGTCTGCTCAAAAAATCCCTGGATTCGATTCAAATTTCTCTTTGCAAATGTGGATGCTGCAGCCAAAAGAATCAAGTCGTCCTCTTCGTCTACAAAGAAATCATTTTCAATGTCGTCGTCTGCTAAAACGTCTAACAGCACAGCAAGTTCGGCCACCATCTTTGTTGTGTTCCAGGCTCCCGCACGGATATCTCCAAAGTGATCAATAGATACGGCTCAATCCGATCCATTTCCTTGGAGAGGAATACTGCAGTTCCATTTGTCCAAAAATTCCACGGGAAATTCCATTCAAATGGTAAGCGCTTAAGGTAAACTTTCGTCGCTTCAATTTCTGCCGGGTTAAGGTGGCCGAACAGTTTTCGAGCGCGCCTTTGCTGATACAATTCAGTGCGTGCACAGGGATTTCAAAAAAACAAACATGCTGTCAATAGAGCGATCAGTTTATTTACGCAACACCCGCAGTATCTGTGCTATTTTTCTCTATAATTGAACGCAGTGTATTGATGGCTTTAGACTTTTATCACAAGTGTATGTTAGAAAAGGTAAAGATGCAAAGAACTCAGCAATTCTCAGCTTTTTCTTTGTTACCGAAAGAACCCAGTTAAATGCAGCGCATGCGTAGTAAGTCAAAAAATTGCGATTAAATGAAAATTTGCACTCTCGGAAATACGCCTATTTCTCGAGAACTAGCCATTAGAATTTCACGAAATTTGGCACGAAAATACTTTAGGAAATAAGTAACTGGAGTATTGAAAATAATTTAACTTTAACAAAGGAAACTAGATATTCCAGTAAACCTTCAACAAGGGATAACTAAAGATCTCTCTGTTAAATTATTAGCAAAATGGTGTTAACTTGTGAGAATCGTTACAAGCTTGGTACATGCAAATTATAAAGAAAATCTAATTACTAGATTTTCTACAAATAAGCAAAACCGATTTTAAAGGCCTGTTTGTTTTTATCCGTGTTGCCATGGCAACGGCACATACTTCAGCTTAACCATCAAAAAACCAAAGTTTGTGTTGTTAACTTGCTTGCTGCCATTTTGGGCGACTGAGAGATCAAGGGTTTTAGAGAAAAAGGTGAGTGAAACACAGGTATCAAAAACTGTGTTCAGCCACCTTAACTTCGTCTCGCTTCGACTAATAGAACAATTTAAGCTTGGGCGGTTTGTTTTCCCATTGCAGACGTGATATCCTTTAGCGAATTGTTCTTTTATCCATATAAAAATTAGTCATTCATATACATGCGACTATTTGACAATTTGAAAGCATGAATTCTCAAGGGTATCAGGGTAAAAGGTTCTAATACTCCTGGGTAAATTAAAGTAAAGAAAACTATACAAAGACATGGCTGCTCGTAATTATAGACAAATCAAATAATTAACAGCAAAATGGGGCCGACTAATTTTTCTAGGTAATATAATCTTTATTTAAAGAAGCGATTTTTTAAATGTTTAATACGTCCATTAAAATGTGAACCGGTGATGTCACTGGGAATCTAGTGTTGATATAGACGCAACATTAACCAAGGAAACCTTCGATTCTACACAATATTAGCTTTTAGTTTAGACATCTTTTTTACAAGTTAATGCAAACTGCAGCAAACGAAGCCGTCTTAATATATTGGTCATTCTCTCTTTTCTGGTCTTTTCATATACTCTATTTTGAATAATTTTAGGAGCTGTTTTTGCACACTGTACAGCTTAATGAAAATAACCGATCACCGCCCATCAATGATCCAAGCATACAGATATGATTAACAAAACTCATGAATAATTTAAATATATAACCTGAATTAAATATCAAGTATGAAATAAAAACACCTTCTACAATAGAAAAAAATAATAAAAAAAATAAAATACAACAAGAAGAACAAATATACAGAATTCTTGATAATAACGTCCACCTAGTTCAAATTTTTTACATTGCAGGTGACACCGTTAAAATGCAAATGAAGCTCACACCAGATAATTTTAAACTGCAATTCATTAAATAAACGCGGGATTCGTTATAGTACAAGTGAGAATATTTTCTGAATGAAGAGAATTAAGTTATAAGTTTTTTAAATAATGTTATGAGATTCGCTGATCAAAAGAGAGACCGTACATTTCACTGCAGTTGTCATTCGTTACAATGTGACGCTAGTCCAAATTAATATCCAAGTGAAATCTTATTACGATGCAATTAAGATTAATAAATAGAACGTACGAGGAAAGTAAGGGCCAAATCATGTTGTAGGAGATTTCAGGTAATTAACAACAAAAAAGGTTTTGCCTTTTCTCATTTCAATTACACGCAACGCAATGTCAGTGATAAAACACCAGTGTCCTTTAGTCCATCGTTATCTCTTACTAATATGACCAGTAAGAGCGCAGTATGGCTAGAAGTCAGTGTGGTATGACTGTAGGTCGGACAGCGCTTCATGTAGTATATCACGTAACTGGAAAGGAACAAAAAACAAACAAACTGTTGTGAAGTAAATCTACAAAACATACTAATACCGCCAGTACCACCATGGATGCTGCCATGTGAGAAAACAAACATAGCTGGGTTGAGTTCTTTGGGTCTTATTCATTCATTCTGTTTATTTGCCTTTTTACCTAATGCAGTAATTATTTATAATTAGTATATACCACACAAGTGAATAGTGCTTTTCGCGCGGTCTGACTGGTTAACTCGGAGGTGATTAGCAAGTACTATTTCCCTCCAGGCAGCCGCCGCGAGAGATTTAAAAAATTCCGACCGCTTGCCACACATTAAAAAAAAAAAGTTTTGGTCCGCTAATTATTCAGCTTGTGTGGTATATACTAAAGCAATTATTTACCTCCACTTCGGTGAATAATTGTTAAATATTTGAATGCATGGCGAGGTGACCTCTAGAAACCACTACGCTTTCATAGTTGAGGCCACCTCGTACGTAACAATATGGTTACATAGATAGCGCTACAGTGTGCGGCTTTGCCAATTCAGTAATTATTTTACTAAAGCTTTAGCAGTTCTTTTTGAAAACTCGACAAAGAAGTGATTGTAACGGGAAAGGAATTCCAGATCTTTCTCTACCGAGTACATAGAAAAGGAATATAAAAGTACGTTTTCCTGAGTTCTGTCTCAAGGCATTGCTGCCAATGGGTTTGTTTGTTCTTAAAGGTACCCTTCGTAACAGACACCTTGAGGCCGTGATTTTATGTCTGTAACAGGAAACGAATTGAACTCAAAAATGTGTCATGTCATTTTGCATGTACGGGGGACGACTACAATCTACATTGTACAGTTTATTTATTAAGTAAACATGTTGCGAAAAAAAGTGATGCGAAAACAACACTAAAAACTATGAATTGCCGGCGCGGCGGTGAAACTAAATACCAGCCACAAAAAAAAGAAAGAGTTTCAAGTCTCTTTCCACAGTGTACTTTCGTGAGGGTTTTATTTGTATCAGTGCTTATTATGACCAAAACCTACCTCTCCTTTAGCGCTTCTACTAAGGTTCTGAAGTACTGGCAAAGATATCTAGTGAGAAAACAGAAAAAACATCTTAAAACTAACTACTGTACATGAAAGGTGATGACGATCTAGATGGATAGAGTTCTATGGCTTACGGCTTAATAATGATGATTGGAAGGCGCACTTCTAGTGATGTTCAGGCGTAATACCTGAAGGTAAACAAGCTTCTTATCTTATTGATTCTTTGGACAGCCATATCAAATAATAGAAAATTATATCAATTAAAAGTAAAGCTTCACTCACTGAGTCAAGTGCGTCGCTTGTCAAACTGCTCGGTTCCATTACAACAGACTGCAACAATCTGTAGAGGAAAATAATGCTATGCTAAGTCTCTTTAGCTTGGCTTTCCATACCAAAAAGCGGTAACAAGCATTTCTAGTCCCTTCGGGATGCAGGACTTGAGGCGATCGATCTTTTTCCGTCCATCCAGTCAGCACAATAAAATAACACTATAACAATTTAACAAATTGACGTCAGTTTTTATGCGTCTGTCCTCTTATTGATGATTAATTGCCTCACAACATTGTCAAAGTGGCTGTGGAACCATGAGCCGCAGGCGAGTGGTTCCGCAGTAAACTTTGACAACGTTATGACGAAATTTATCATCAGTAAGCGGACGGACGCATTAAAAGCTGATGTCAATTTGTTTTTTACAGTAACAAGACACCAAACTGAAATGGTCAAATGTCAGGAATAAGTGAGGGGAAAAGACGCCGTAAACTTGCCGTAAACAAAGATAAGTGAATTTTATTCAAAATGACGTAAACATTGTTAATAGCTTTTTTCGCTTTCTGATTGGCTGCTTAAAAAGTCCATAAAATCCCATTGGTTAAAAAGTTGACAGTTTGACTGCTGAAAGTTGAACTTGAAAGCTTGCATAAATCAAAATTTTATCCGTCTGTACTCTTACTGAATGAGCCAATCAGCGTGCGAGAAATTAGACAGTTATTGTAAAATTAATATTAGAGGTCATGCACAAGTCCTAGTGATCATGATCAACAATGAAGATTCACGGCATATAGCAAAGAAAGGGCAAAGACAAACATAACAGAAACGTTACATTACCTCGCAGCATTGAGTCTTAGCTCTGAATCGCTTTCCTCTGTATAAACAAAAACGGCAAAAAATGAATGGAACCAATTGCTACTTGATGTAAAATAATGCAACATACATTTCCTACAGATCACGGTTTCAACTCTCACTGGCTTTAGAGCATTTCTTGAAAGTTAAAACAGTCTTGAAGATTGTAGCAGGATCAAATTCCAAGGAAGTGTTCATCCCGAGTGTGCGAACAGAGAACTTAAAAACGAGAGTGCTTTTGTTATCAGTGCTTTTTATCACAGGCAAAATTAATTGTTCAGTCTCGTCTTACCTTTTATTGATAACAAAAAGTTTCTCTAGAATCAAGCAACTTTGCAGTAGGAAATGTTTCAGTGAAATTACATAAAAATTAAGGTAAAAGTTAAAGGAGACAAATGGTAAAATCCTAAACTCGCCCAGACGATGGGAGCCTTTTTGGAAATCCAAGATTGAGGCTTCACAAAATTCAGACTCCAAGGCAGGAAGAAATACACAACAACGGGACTCACTGCAAAGGATTCCGAGAAACAAGACTGTGGATCAAAAACACGAGAATCTGGCTATGCAGGCGCTTTCAATCAATCACCGCTGCTAATCGGAGAGGCGATGTATTCGCCGGCTATGATGTGAACATAAGCTTAGTTCGTTTAGAAACCTAACCTCGTTTGAATACCAATTTAATCTACACGACAAAATATAAGCCTGATCAACCATTTACCTCGAATTACTTGCATGAGGTTGTCCAGTATTCCTTGCTTCTTAATGATATATTGAAGACCAGACAAATTGATGCTGAAAACAAAATTCACATTAACCGATAAAGTTCTAACATCGTTTTCACATTCAGTTATAAATGCGTGGGTTTTATTAATGCATGACTAAGGGAAGAGAGAAGAGACCAGAGATAACCACAGAGCTATTAATTGTAGCTCATATGCCGCAGTTTCTACTCATACGGCTTCCGAGACGTTTCTGTCCACGCGTTCAGGTTCAATTCATCTTCCTCGAGATACCACCCGAAATGTTCCACACAGACTTACCAATAAGAAGGCCATAATAGCTATACAAATGGCTTCTTACCTTATGTTATATAAAGCCATGAGTATCAAGTTCCTCATCTTGACATTTTTCCCCACAGCAGAGACACTCAGTACTGTAATAAACGTGTCAATCAACACACGTCCACTGTCTTTAGTTACCAGAAAGTCTCGGCCTTGAGTAGCTGCTGCCATATTTGTAATGGTTCCAGTGAGCGCCAGAACAAACTGGAATTCCTCCGATGTTTCTTTCTCGTCTTCTTCACCGAAACTATCAAAATAACTCTCCACTGTCCGTGCAGTGATCTGTAGAAACTCTTCAGCTTTATTCTGTAAACATAACATTTCCCTCAGTTTAAAGTGGTAATATGATCAAATTTTTACCCCTTGATTTTTTAGGTACATCACATAGAATTCCACGAAGGAATAAAAACGCCGTTTATCGTTTGCAAATATCTGCACTAGTTCCGGAGATATTTGAGTTTGAAAAATGTGTAAAATATGCAAATGAGATGACTGATGATGTCATACACTCAACCCAATATCATATCAAGTATATAAATAAAGCTATCTTGACCAATTTGCAACGCAGACCATTGAAACTTGGTAGGCTAATAGTTCTACAGAAAACACACCTATGGCTATAAAAAGTTCTGTTCTCATGGCAACTCACTCTTTTCCGGTCCCCACCCACTTGATTTCAATATGTTAGTTATTTTCAGCTCGTAAAACGTTAAACGAGGCCACAAACTCGAGCTAACATATTTATATGCTTGCTGGATCGTGCATATGAGGCACCATTTGCAAATATAAAAATGGAATGCCAAAGGTAGCCAGAAATGCCTTTAATATTGAGGAGGTCTAGAACCCAGTATGTTTCCATGGTAACAAAACTGTTATGCTCGAATTGCGGAGCAAATTTAGTAGAATCTTTCTGCAAAGAATCAGACATTTCTGATACAAATTGGCTGAGATTTCTTTTTTCATCACATCTGATGAAAATTTGGTTGAGTGTATGACGTCATCACTTTGCTAATTTGCATATTTTAAAAACTTGAATATCTCAGGAACGAAAAGAGATATTTGAAAATAGTAAACAGCATTTTTCTTCTCATGCAGGCTACTTGTTTATGTTTTAAAATGGCTTCGTTAGGAAAGATGCGATTTTCGTCATAGTACCACTTCAACATAAATTGCTAACAGCTTCCTACTCCACTGAATGCAAATATTTTCAAGTTTTCTTTTCTCAAGAAAAAAAAAATGACTAACTGTTTTATCAATAAACGAAACAAAAACGAAATAATGCTTTTTCAAACCTGTACCTCAACAAGTCTACAACTCCTAAATCTGCACCATGGATAATTTTCCTTTAGTTGGGTGTCAAAGTTGACAGATTGATATCTCAGCAATCAAAATTTTTTGAAATGACTTTAACCAAATGCATTTTTGCGAATGTTCATTTTGGTCAAGACTGGTTTTGTAGATCAGGTGTTGTCTCCAGCTGTTTAAAAGGGCTTTGTGTTCATTAAACATGGGGTTAAACTCATTATCCAGCCATATATAGCGCTGTTATACCTAAAGCTTACTGCCTTTTGATCAAAAGCTTGGGGGTCGTATTTCAAACTCTAACTTGGAGACCCAGTGTTTAGTGCTGAATAATTAGGCTATGGGCGCTTTTGCGCACAATGAGAATTTTAAGAACCAAACATTTACACACCCCTCCCAGCAGGGATGTCACAGAGTGCTGTTGACGAGACACTCTCCATAACAAAGTACACACAGCTGCACCCATGGAGGAACAGTATTCAGACTGATCTCCCATCTGTTGGCTGAGCTCTGATAACTGACACTGTGGAAGAATGAGATCAAATTTAGAGAAGTTACTTACACATGTTACAGTGAAATCATTCACTGTTAGGGTTATGACTTCCAACAAGCCCCTCTACTTTCCTGTTTTTGTTACCTTAGAATATAGGTAATAGCGTTGCTTTCAACTATCATTACACTGTTAATTTAATTGTGTAAATTTTATAAAAATTCTATAGCAATAATTTGGCAATGTGATAGCTGGTTGTAGTTACATCCTTGGGTGCTTGCTCTAATCTTCATAACTGAACTAAACAAAGACAACGGTTTCACTTAAATTGGCAGTAAAAATCGACCTCAAAGTTCAAAATTTGTGGAAGCCTGTATAATCCTTGTTTCTCTTTCTAGGCAACGTCTTAGTTACAATGCCTTTTGCTTTGTCTACAAGGCATCTCAAGAACAACATTCATACAACACACTGCTAGATATAAAGAGGAATAATCGGTTTTTCTGTAATATATACTACAGTCACCTTTTCTTTTTAATACAGTCAATGTAGATTGTGTTGTTCCAGAAAACATCCATTTAATACCATGCCCCTCCCTTGGAAAGTTTTTGCAATTTAACCCCCCTCACCCCCTGGAAATTCTGATTTAGCTTCATACTTTCCTTTAAAAAATTTGGCTTTCAAAACCACCCACCCCCTTGGAATTTCTGTTCATCTTCTTTGGTGCGGGTTTGGATATTTTCTGGAACTGTAAGTGCATTGTTCAGTGATTGAGGGTTCAGCGACATGCACGTAAGAGATTACAGAATCAGTCTAACAAATCAATAAATCTTTAAAAGCTGTTACCTTGAGTCCATACTTTTCCTGCAACACAGAAGTTGCAAAGAAAAGTTATTACTATGAATAGCAAATTCAACACTCAACCACAGCACATACCTCTTTGGCAAAATTTCTCATTCACTAACAATTACTAAAAAACTTCCACTTGTGTTTCTAATTAACTTGATAGAAACACATTTTTTTGTTTAATAATTCTAGCACTATGTAGATACTTGTTAAACTGCCACAGGATTTGACAACAGGTTTTTTGTAGTAAATAAATTTGCAGACATTTTTGTTGCCTTTGTAATGAAGAGCACTAATTACAGAGTGGATCGACTCAAACAATTAAACATGTTTATTACAACACAGTCACTACAACACAACTTAAAATTAAAACTGTATACTACCAAATACCTAAAAGACAGGAAATATCTTTGCAATAAAAGCAAACATCAACCTACCTCCCTGTATCTTTCACAGTCCTCAAGAAGACTATCATATCTTTTCTTCAGTACTTCCATGTCTGAGTCATATTGTGTTTTCATCTGTTCTAACTCCTTTCTCAGCTTCTTGTTCTCTGCTTCAGATATCTCAAGTTCTGATTGGTTAATAATTGAGTTGATTCAGAAATTGTAATCTACCATAACTCTACCTTGGTGTAGATTGACAACTGCCAAATGCCTGCAAAAATTGTTCTTGCCTTGAAGTTTGAAAGGTATATATATACAATATGCAGCCTACACTTTTAATTTTTTTTATATGTTAAGTTATTTTCTCTCAAATATCAGATCATGATTATGTTGGTGAAACAAAATTTTAAATTAATACAATGTAATCTTTTGAAATATACAAAAAGTACCCAGCACAAATGCTTGCAAGGAGTGGTTGGTAACCTGCATCATCGGCTGTCGGCTTATTTTGAAAACACTGATTTCGCTGCTGGCACAAGCTCATGTGTTAATCACTGTACATCTTTTTGCAATCCTACCTTGCTCACAATGATCTAGCTTGCTATACACACCCAGCAGATCGGCGTTTAATACCTTGTGAAAAAAATAGATATTACATGTATTAACCAAGGGTATGTGCTTGGCAAGCCAATGTGAGTACTAGTCTGTGGGATAGTGTTCTGAATGGTTTCTCCTTAACTTTGGAGCACTGCAGGCTTTTTGAATTTACTTTGTGTTAAATCTGTCACTGTAACCTTTGATTTAGAAAAAAATATATTGCAACATTGGCATCAAGCATAAAAGATATGGCTACATACTAATGCACTGATCATTTAAATTTTAAAGCTTTAACATCCCCACACCTCACTGGGCAACCCACGGGCATGTGACTACCGTCCCTGGCTCCCTGGAATTTAACACAGCCTTCTTGGGGGTGGAGGATTTGAACCTTGCTTGGGTGGGGTGGGGAATTTGAAGCAGAAGTATCAAGCCTTTCCAACGGAATACATATGGTTGTTCCAGGTATAAAGAAGTTTAAAAGAAAAGAAATTGCTCTTGTTAGCGAATGGCTGACAAGCTGATGGCTGCCAAAGCTTTGCAGCATTTTGGAAGGTATGTTTAAAACTAGAGTGTATTTGAGTTGTGTGATTATTAGGTTTTAAAACTTGAATTGAGTCAAATCAATTGCTGGTCAACGAGTAGAAAGCCACGGTCTCTGATCAATTGCCTTTTTCATAAAATAGTTGTTGTCTGCAGAGCATGAACTGCTATTGAATAGTGAATGAACAAAAGCTGTAAAATGTACAACAATCTCTCTCAAACAATTTAAATATAATTCATTTGAAGGTATTGCAGTTGCTAAATGCGCCTAGTATCATAAATTTTTCACTCTGTGGAATGATGCTTGCAAGTGAAAAACCCAACAGCAGCACCAAACCCTGTAAATACATGACTTTGCTAATTTTTAACATTCATTGATCACACAAGGAATCCTTCAATTCAAATGTGGTACCCAGCACTTGGGTAGGGCATTTGAATGCAATTTTGGCCTGGTGGGGTGGGCATTTGAATGGGCCAATCTTAAAAAGTTCAAATACCGGGGGGGTTGCCAGGATGTTGAAGCTTTGAATTGATCAGTGCATAAATAGCTTGTACTTTTAAAGAAACAGTTTTTTCTCTGTGTAATTATAAATCTAACAAAGGAAAACTACTGTACTATCAGCACACAGCATAAAAGATGAGACTACATACAGCTGAACATCTGAAAATCTAAAAGATGCAAATTATCTCCTAAACTAGATCACAATATTCATAGAAGACCATTATAGAAGTACTTTGCTTGCTGTAAACATTGACTACAAAAAGACAAAATATGCAGAACATCACTGGCTAGGCCACGTTCCAGGGTGACAAGTTTAAAAATGGTTTTCACTGGTGTGTGAGCATAAGGAAATTAGTAACATTGATTAATTAATTATTTAATAAATTAATCTAGTTATATACATAAGCGATCACTGGCCCATCTAGATTAGCACTTGCTATCCTCAGGCCTCGCACCACCGCGCCTTCAAAGCCAAAGTACAGTGCGACTTCTCTAGTGCTTACTAGCCTGACCATACTAATGTACTCAGATTGACAAATATCATATAAACATAGATATAACACAACCAGGCACCAAATAATAAAGTTGCACTTGACCATTTTCCTTTCATCGGTGTGTGTTCTATTCATCATCTTTAAGCCCAATTTCCCAGTGGATTCTCTGAACTCGAACGTTTATTTCTTCCCCATGTTCTGTGTTGTAAACAACTCCGCTGACACATGCAAATGAGGGAATGAAGCACATGCTTAATTCTTGCACAATCAATGATCTAGCGGAAAGTGTGGAAACTGGGGATGAGAATTAAATCGTTTGCTCATTCTTCGCGAGCAACTGTTACAGAATGCTGCGTTTTGTAAAGAAAGCTTTGTTTTCGCTTGTCTGAACACAAAAATGTCCAGCGTTTTCGGAACGGGCCGGTCCACGAGTTCTATGGCTTGAAAGCAGTAGCCAAATGAGCAAAGTAGCCAAATGAGCAAAGTTCGTGCTAGTTCTCACGAATACCCAGATGTTGAATAAATCAAGAATCTTCCTGAACAGAATTTCAAAGGGAGGCAAACAGCAAGCAATTGGATAGTGAGGATACTCAACGGAGCGACGTCAGTAGTTAATATCTAAGCATAACCCTTTTGTGAAATATCCTGATTCTTTTATTTGTTTTCGTTGTGTTCAATACTGCTAGAATAGGCCCATATTGCAACACAAAGCCTGAATCGCTCTTTTTGGAACGTTCAGTATTTTTTTCGAGTAGGTGTTCCAAGTATTTGAAGCTGTGCGCCTAAAACTTTTAACTCTGCGCCTAAAAATTTACACCTGGTCGCACAAGTGCTCTCAAAGCCAAAAATGAACTTTGAGCTCTGATGTGACCCACTAAATAGGCAATCAGGAAAGTTTCCTTAAAACTTCACCTAGTCTAAAGAATTTCTGCCACAGTATATTTATTCATCCACATGATGTTGACATTTTCAACATTAAAATATTGTAGAAAGCTTTTGGTTTACAAATAATTTGAAAATTTGCTTCCAGTCCAGTGGATTTCTTCAAGAACAAAAATACTATATATCAAAACAAAATTAATGAAAAATTACTTTTGGTAGAAATTCTTTCACTTGCATGATTTCAGTAACAAGTTGGTCAACATCAGCTCTTGAGACTTTAACAAATGCCAGGTTTCTGTCAGCCTGAAAATAACAACAATGAAGAAAGAAGATTATGAAATAACTTTAATTTATTTGACAAGTCACCAATGCAATAATTGTTTTTCTTCCTACTTACACTGGAAAATAGAAAGACATTTTTAAAAAAGAGTATCACCCTAAAATTTCAGTCTCTACAACCTCAGCAAGTTTCTAAATAGGCATCCTAATTCTAAAGTCTGAGATTCTAAAACTGTTTGCCCAGATATAAAAAATCTTATCCACTTTTTTCCAGCATTAACTAAGAGCTTAATAGCCTTGATACAATTTTCAACTTGGGTGCATACACTTTACCAAAATTTGAACGACACAAGCTTAAGCTTAATTTGCTCAGCTCCGACATGTACAGACGTCAACCTTACCATCACTTCAAAGGGTATTACACGAAATAAAGCTCAACCCTTGAACTATAAATTACAGAGTGCGAAGGCTAGATATGACTCTATGTATACGAGATTTAAACTACACAATAAGTTCTCGAAAATCCATTGCTCGAAATTCAAGAAATGACGCCAGCAGAACTGAAACTTTACTGTCACAAAAAAACCTCTTGAAAATGCCTGAAAACTCGTACTGAAAGTGAGATACATCTCCTAAATAATCTTTTCAACTTTCGGTTAATTATTTAATCGCAAATCCATAAGGTAAGCAATATAAAATAGCATACCACTTGGAGATCTCGAGAAACCCTTGCAATTCCGTTTTCTGCCATTTTGGTTTCTTTTCATCTCTCGTTCCAGGCCTACTCAGCGGGCTGGTGGGTGAAAAGGCCGCCCGTCGATAAACGGTTGGCAATCTCTCATTTTTGAGCATGTTACTGCGCCTTTCAACAACATGCGGGTTGTAAAATTCAAAGCTCAACCGACAAATGCGTTTTTCGCTACCGTCAATCAAATGTTCGGCGGTTCCTCCCAGCTTCCGACTATTGCCGAACGCGTGGTAATCAAATCGTAGAGCACAGTTTAGACAACGAAACAGTGCTTAGCAATAGTGGGAAGCTGAGAAGAGCCACCGAACATTTGATTGACGGTAGTGAAAAACACATTTGTCGGTTGAGCTTTGAATTTTAGAGTCCGCATGTTATTGAAAGGCGCAGTAATACAATACGACGTTGAGCGCTTCTTCCAGAACCCGTGACTGGGGAGATACTGAGGCCCTGTTTTTGCTAGGGGTAACACAATTCATGTCATAAAACACTCATGGCAAGTTGGTAATTAAGACCTCTGTCGTTTTTTTCAGCCACTCTCCCTCCCTCGGAGCTCACAATCGGACCGAAATGGAGCCCCATCGGACAGAAATCGGAAACCACGTTCCCAGTGAAAAGCCTCTGACACCCGGGGTATACTATACTTGGCCCAACCCAAGGTACCAATAACAACAAACGACATAGTAAACCATTTTTTCACAACTGTATTGCACATACTTTACAATGATATCTCAACATAAAATTCTACATTCTCGTGAGTGTATGAATGTTATTTACTTACAACACCTTGCATATTAACACGTACGAAAATCACGGCAAGAGTACAACAGAGCTGTTCAGCGCACGAGTCGGCGACGAACAGAGAAATAAGTCTGGAGTTTGGCAACCACATAATGCATAACGTCAAACGACGTACTTAACAGACGAGCACGTCGTCTCAGATGATCTAGACATCTAGTGTAAAAGCGGAACGCATTAATAGACCGGCCATTGCTTGGCCGGCACCCCTAAGTCTCCCCAGAATCTAGAATTCAGACTCGTTTCGTACAAAGTAAAGTGAAGCTTTGTGTATTTTTTCCCAAGACAATCCCTCTTATGTTATTTTTGTGATCACCCCCGGAATCGGATTCTGATGCGGATTCTGTACACATGGGTAACTCAAGCGGCTTTATGGCATTTTCATCTCCCACGGAAAGATTCACGCAACGCACGCAACATTTCCCCGGAAGAACTGGGTACAATGTCTGACAGGAACTTGAGAGAGAATACCTTGGGAGTAAGACCTAGATGGGGATAACAAGTTTTTTACCGTTGATACTCTCTTATCGCCCTTTAAATTTCTGCACCCCGTTTCCACACTAGACGACTTTAAGACGCCTAAAGCGTTAGTGGCGTCTGTACGCGACACGCCTTTTGTATAAATACATAACTAACAATTATCCACAAAGTGTTGGTGAATGGTACTTTGCTTATCGCCTCCGAGTTAACTAATCAGATGACGTAAAAAGCACTATTCACTTGTGTTGTAAAAACTAAAGCCAAATATTATAAACAACAGGAAATGGCTACGCGTAAAATCTATTTTACAAAGTCTATCGCAATAAATACTAGTAGTGATTATTTACAAGATTATGGTGATATTAAATTAACACACCGTCACACATAAGTAGCCTTAACACTGCACCATTGCAAACAATGCAGTCAACGGGACTTAGTTATGATTTTAAGACTCGTATACAAATATGACATTTCACTCGTAAGTCAAATGAGAACGTCCCAAAATTAACTGGATAATTTACGGCAACATCGATCTCTTTCCATAAAAAATAAAGTTTTCTTCCTCTTGCTATAGAATAACTTTGATAAACTCTAACTTGCCGAGACAAAATGAGGGAAAAAATAATCAAACGCCATAAATTTCCTTTCCCGTTGTTTAGACAGGATTATACTGTACACATGAAATTTCTCATGTTAACCTTCAAGTCTCACTTAAAGTACCGTTATCTTGAAACGAATTTACAAGATTGTAGGATCAGGGTAGCATGCGAACAAAACGTGCTTATGAGCTTCTGTGTGAAGTCCAAGCTTAGGTGAACAGGCAGAATATATTGGGATAAAATCAGTCTCGATATTGATAAAAATATTTTTGGAAATAAAAAGACAGTAAAAAACTGTTTTTCAGAAAAACTACGGTACATGTACTTCAGGTATTGACGAGTCAGCTATCACAATAATCGGTAACCAAACCTGAGTCAACTGGACGGTCGCAGAAAATTTGCACGGCCAACATCAAAACCACATACATGTAGACCACGTGATATGTTTAATTTTCAAAAAAATCCTTAAAAACATCAGCGGCTACGATTAACTGGATTTCAAATATAATGACCATGAATGATGAAGTCTCTTGTCACTTTTAGGAATAACAAAAGCAAAAGCAAAAGCAAAACACTTAGTTTCCAAGATCAACACGATGCTTGAGTAAATTGAATCTGTTTGTCAATTTGGTTGGCTGAAAGGCTGTTATTGTGCATGACTTAAGTAAACATTGCTTATAATCCCATTTCTGAGGGGGGTGGGGGCTCATTATTACTTTCTCCTCCTGATAGTGCATTAGCCTCAGCTTCTTGTGCCTGTATCTTCCGCCTCCTGCTTCTTCGAGCTCTCAGCTTCTCCTGCAATCCTTGATCCACACGGGCCTTATTCAATTCTTGCGCCTTTTCAAACTCTGCCAGTTCCTCTTCATGTTGTTTCTTGAGTTGATCAATGTTACCAAACAGATCTTCTTGTGAAGGAGGAGGGGCAAGTTCAGACAAAGCTGCCGGTTTGGGGGCAGCAGCAGTATCGGCTCCAGCTTCTGCCTCACCAGGGGGCTGCTCTCCCTCAGGAGGGGCCTCCACATCTCCAGAGGGTGGAGCTTCTGTCGGTACCCCTTCTTTATCTTCTGGTTCTGGGGCTTGGTCATCACCTTCTTCCTTGGCAACTTCTCCAGGTTTGGCAATATCTGCTTCCGCTGCAGAGGGATTGTCGTCTGCTGCAAGTTCATCTCTCTTTACATCCAGCTACAGAAACAAACAACATAATTACATAATTAAGAAAAAAAATCCATAGAAGCAGGTGCGCTCTTGGTAGAAGATATCTTGATCGTTCTATCATGTTGTCATTCTCCTAACGGAGTACCTCATACAGTAGCTTATTTTACAATTAATAACATTTTTGTGTTTCCAAAGAAATCACACTCAAAAAATTTAATGATTGTTGCAAGTAGTTATTTGAACAAGTTTTCAGCCACTGTACTTAAGAATTGTCGCAATAAAATTTAGACATCACAATGATGCCTAAATTTCAGGCACTGATCAACACTGTTTGAAGATTCAATTGAGTCATATCTTATGTAGGTTACAATTAACAATTGTGTTAAACAGCATTACCAAGCACCGGTAACCCACGATTTTGTGTTATCATACAAGATTTACTGTTGCATTTCATGTGTCACTTAAAAGGAAACAAACAACAAAAACACAACCTTCTTGCAAGTACATACCTCCAGTTCAACTCCAAGTTTCTCCTTGACCTTACTTTTAATCAAATTCATGCGCTCCTCCTTCAGTTCATAATATTTGTCATTAAACTCTTGCTTCACATTTGCCAAATCTTTGGAGATGGTCTCAGCCACAACACGATCCACCCATTGAAGAAGGTGAGAACTTTTGGAGAACATCGATGCAAATATGTAATAAGACTTCTGGTAGTTTGCCGGTATGTTGACATCATTGAAGATTGTGTTAATAGTGGCCTGTAAAGCCTAGTACCAAGACAAACAACAACAAAGAATGTTACATTTATCAGTAGGACATTTCATTGACTGATGGGCACACAGGGCAGTACATATATACGGTAAGTGAAGTGATGAATGTAACTTCGCCAAGCGAATAATATTTTCCAAATGTAAATTACCCATTGTTTTATTAGTTATATTATGAAAATTACTTCACTGTGATAAATGGCTGACAGCAGGCCAATAAATACTCATCATTAATTCTTAATGTGTGCAGCAATGCAAATTCATACCTAGGAATGTTCGTAATTTTCTCAGTTAATAATGCAAGGTCTCATAATAATAATGCAATGCCAGTCTTATGCAACACCTGCAGAAGAGACTGTCACCAAAGGATCAGATTGCCGAGCCTCTACAGATGCTGCTCTCAACAGGAGCAGTCCTTACCGACCAAGGTGCTACCACTGTCACACACGATAGAGCGATGCCTAGTCAACTCAATACTATTTTTAATGAAAGCTTGAGAAATTAAGGATTCACATAACTTGTAACCCACATTAATTTTGAAAATTCTTTCAAGTTTTGCAATTTTGAGAGGATTATCTTCACTACTTCACAAAATATTAATTGAAAAGTCTCATTTATTTACATGTATTGATAACAAAACTGATGAAAACTAACCTGCAAGTCCTCATGAGTGCAGTATGGAACATTTACTGGTTTCAGGTTACCATGAGCACTGCTGATGTTTTGTGCTGCTGCAATAAGGTGATTTCTAGTTTCTGCAACCATTTGATATTTAACCTGTCAAAAAGTAAGGGTAAGGTATACAAATTATCATACTTGCAAAATGACAGAAAACAGCACTTTAAGTTACAGAACTATAATAATAATTCTCACTATTTTAACATTTTTAAAAATTCAATTGGATATTTTCTATATATACATGTATGTACATGTACGAGGATTGCCACTTTATCTCACTAAGTGTCTTTCATTTATTTGTTGCTGATTCTTTTGTCCATAGCTGATATGTTTTTATACTGGCAAATAATTTTGCAAAGCGCATGTGAACATATATCCACATGTTAATATGCGCTATAAAAGAACCATGGTTATTATGATGATGATGATGATGATGATGATGTTTACAATGTATAATTATACATGTACATGCACACATAATGTACATGTTCATGAATACATGTATGTACAGTTGTTTCATCTTTATTCTCCTTTTTCATATTTATTTGCCTGAGTCATGATTTTTTAGCCTGATAATTTATACATAATTTTATAACACTGTATGTTTTGGACTGCAATCCTTTACTGTGTCCACCGATATTAAAAACAACTCTGTGTCACCCTCATTTTCTATGACCAATGGTCAACTCTGCTCATAGAAAACTCAAATTCTCAGTCTGGTTGTTAATCAATATGGATAAAATTAAGATGTCAACAAAGTAATAGAGTGCAGTGCATTAAAGTATATCCAAAACTTACCACCAGAGTTGTCACACGATGGGTTGCAATCTGAGCCCAGCGACGTGCACTCCAGCTCAGCTGCCTTGTGGCATGATCAAGGTAGACATGGGCAGCTCGCCAACGGATATGTGCAGCATTGATTCTCTCTTTCCTTTGACCCAACAGATCAAGTTCCATCTCCAATTTCCATTCCTTGTCACTACCATACGAATCATTGAATATGCGACCCAACAGCTCTTCTTCTTTCAGCCGCAAGTTGTTCAATTCTTCTTGATCTTTCTTGGCAATTAAAACTTCATCATACAGTTTCTTGTACTGTTGTTTCATGCTTTCAAGTTCCTGCTCAGCAATTTCCTGTTTATTCAATGCATCTAGATATTCTTGCTGCTCTTTTGCAACTTCAGCATCGATCTGATCTTGACCAACAAAGAATGATCGTAAATTGTATGCTGAATTGATGTCTACAACATCCTGATATTCTTTGGCACTAAGGAAAAAGAAATCAGACAAGTAAATTATATTAGTTCTCAATGAAATTTCTGGTTTTAAAATGCATGCTTCTCTACTTACAGTCAGTCTTCCCTTACAGCCTGCGAAAATTTACAGGTTGCCTATAATGATGTGTACATATATAACAAATCAAGACATAATAAAAAGAGCTAGCTGTTCTTGAATGCTTACGCCTTAGCCCCAAATTTAGTACTGTAGGTAAAAGGCAAATTTGGCTGTAGCCCAGAAATTTGTCAGGCCAAAAGAGAGCTAGTACATTCTTCAACTGTTACTGGGCACTTTTCCATCATCAAGAATATTTTAAACCAACCTGACCCATGTCAAGCTGCCAATTATTTCACCACAACATATCTTTCCTGTTAGATTAAAAAATCCTCACGACTGTATTTGGTTGTGACTCAAGTAAGCCAATCAGCCTTGTGGTTTAAAATCTAGACTCTCAGATTTCATTTGGCTTGGTGTTATTTGTTGTTAATAGTTACCAAAGTAGTAGTAATCCAGTTGAGAGACTTTTTGCGCTGGTCACATAATTTAACACAGCACCACATTTACAAAGCTAGCAAAAAATTGACCAAAAAAAGAAACCATTTAAGGAAAATAAATACATGGCATCCTGAGGGTACCCTGAACCATTCATAACTTCAGGATTAGAAATTAAAAGTAACTGGATCAAGTGGATAATTGACAAATCAGTGAGTTATCAGGGAAATAATTATCAAATTCGGTGAGTGCACAATGCAAGGTTTAATAACTTGAACTTATGATCAGTCAATTATCCTTAAGCTCTGAATTTGTATAACACAAGAACCAATTTAATACTTACTAAGTATTACTCATATTAATGCTGAATTTTGAGATTAAAAAGGTTTTAAGAACTTCTTTTGAGAGAAAAAATAAGATATTCCAAGAAGGGCTGGTATATAAAAATGTTAGAAGTCTCAGCACACGTAAATGACATGCAAATGGCATAGGTGTCCAATTGCTGGTGTCAAATCACAAAGAAAGTACTGTAGTTGTACTTGAGTAAATATTTTGACACTCACATGATCATGTGCAATTACGTGACTAATAGGATTACTGAGAACCAATCACAATCAAGAATTTTGTTATACATGTAGATATGGTAAAATAAATACCATACATAAATAATTTAATTATTACAAGTATTAATAGCATATCCCATCATTTGATACAACCGTACATTAAAAGGTACCATTAGGATATCAATTTTACTTAACAAATAAAGAAGCCTAAGACGTGTATTACACTGTGATAAAACACGATGGGCAATTGAGAACAAAACATGAGCCGCAGGCGAGTGTTTTCTACATTTCTCGAGTGTTCCCAAATGTCCGGCGTATTTTATTACAATGTAATACACTGCTTAGGCTTCTTCATTTGCTTGATGATATCTAGGTAATGTGGCAAGAAACAATAAAACATGCTTTTTCTATGTTTTATACTCTGATTAAACTGGGTTTTTGACCAATCACAGCACATGCAGGTTCCTATCTACATCATACACTCTGGTAAGACATGGGTTTTTGACCAATCAGAACGCGCACAGGGTCCTATCTATATTATAAAAAAAAAATAAACAATAACTATACTGATTTCTTTCAATACTCACGTTTGGGCTTTGAGTTTTTGCACTTTGTCATTGCACTCGCCAAGATTCTTATGCAATTCGACTAGCCTGGCGTGTTTTATTTGATAGCCGTTTTCGGCACCCTTTTCCTCTAAGCCTTTTACTTGATTTTCCACTTCCACAAATTCTTTAAGAACATCCTCGCTGAAATTCGGTTTTTCGTGTTCTTGATCTTCAGTAGCAACGACTGCACCTTGTGTTGTCGTTTCATCGGGAGTTTCCTCTACCTTTACCACTTCTTCGACGGCTGGTTCTTCGCTGTCTTTGTTGTTGTTCGATTCAGGAGCTTCTGTATTTTGCACATCGGCTTTTACAGGCTCGCTTGGAACAGGTTCGACTTGAACTGGCGTGTTCCCTCCTGGAGCAGTTTCTGGGCGACTCTTCTTTGATTTAGCACTGCTAGACCTGCTGCTACTGCTCGAGCTGTCGCTGCTCTTAGACTTGGCTGAGTCCCTTCTCTTTAGCGGGGGGCTTTCTTGTCGAATCTCCTGTTGTTGTTGTTGATTCTGTTGTTCATTTTGCTGCAGTGGTTGCGGCGGAGGTGATTCTCTTTTAACGTCTCCATTTCGGACAGCATTTTGCTCAGCTGCCACCGGTTGTGATGATCCGCAGCCCATTTGATTTCGGTTCAATTCCTGAAAAAACAAAGAGTCACTTGCGATTATTTACTCTTTTAGAAGTATTCGTTATTCTTCAACTAATAACTGTACGACACTGTAGGAATCAGCAACGCAAGCTCTCTTGTAAAACGTCGAAGGAGCTGACCGCTCCACTGGAAGTCTTATTAGTTTTGGCGCTCGATTCCGTGATGAAAGAAAATTCAATATTATCACCAAAAGAGCCTAATTCTTAAAAGAAAACAATCACCAAGTCTCATGTTTATGATCAGTTACGGAATCCTTAACGTGTCACTATCAATTATTGTACGAAGAAGACGAACCATGATTCATTGGATCAAACAAAATCACGATCGTTCACTCACCCTCCGCCTGCTTAGTGGAGTAAAATTTTAACACAAAATAAGGTCTGCATAAATTGTAGGCGGATTATTTTTCCGAAAACACAACTTCAACCTTTGATGAAAGATCAACAACGTATAGAGACAACATACATACAGGACGAGATTTGTAAAAGACAAGATGGCGAACGTGTGCTTATTTAGAAATTCGTTGCCATAGTAACAACACAACAGTTTTGCGCCAACCAGTAGCTGACTTGTTGAGGAACAATAACCCTTTGAGGGACCATGCAAATTTTTTTTGTTCAGCAATTTCACGGCATTTAAACCGATTTCGGTCGTCAAAACTATTACCGAATTTCGATTTTCCCACATTTTTAGTTTTCATGAAGCAATATTTACTCTTAGCTGGCTTATCAAATCAAATAGATTTGAAATCACCATGGTGATACCAAAACATTTACTGGCCGATTGTTTTGTTTCTTAGTGAGAAGATAATGTTATTTCTTTATCTACAAGATTAACCTAGACAAAGAAAGTTTAATGAACGGTATCGCGCCTCGCAAGTTTGTAATTTTGCATTTTACGTATCAGCTGCTTGTTTTCATGCCCCATTCCTAAATTTCAGAATTCTAGGTGAAGTAATGACTGAAAGTTGTATTTTCAACTTGTCTACATAGCTTGGAGTCGGTCACGTTATGCTCAGCATTTCGTGACATGGCTAGCACGCACGATAACGAATGCGGGTGGTTTTTATCAACCTCGCTCCCGGGGTGATGCCTGGGAACGAGGTTGCTGGTTTACAATTTTGTTATGGGTAACTGTTTGCCCTGCCGATGAGATGGTCCCTGACACTTTATTCAATCATTACCCTGATTCAAAACGACTTATTTTTATTTGCTTCCTCTATGTCACAGCACTTGCTTTTTCATGGTTGTGTTTTTTATTTATGACGGGGGGGCCATGCCCGGTGGGTCAGCCCCTTTTTAGCATCGATCCTGCCTAGTCCTTTTCTCTGAACACGAAACGAAAAGCAACAACTGCAAACAAGAAAAGAAAATGCATGGGGAGCATGGTGAGCGCGCACCTCTCCTATGTGGGTTGAATTTTCAGAATTTGTTGATGGTTGTTCCGAGAGTTCTAATATTTTTCCGGGTTCTCCGGCTTTTCTCTAGCATTTCCGATAGAGGACCAGGATCCGAGTGTTCTCGATCAGTGATCCGTATTCGGATCATCCCTTTACACAGGATGTTAATCGTTAGGGGTTGACACATTATGCTCCTAAAATCGAGCATTATGCTTTTTGGCACTGCCCCCAAAACGGACTATTATACTCCAAATTATGCTCGACTGTAACTATTGTAATCGTAGTTATGCCCCACAATTTTTTTCCCGGACCCCGGTGAGTTATAATTATGCCGTAAAAAAATTTTTCCCGGACCCCGGTGAGTCATAATTGTGCCGTAAAAATTTTTTCTGGGACTCCCGTGAAGTGCGATAATAGTAATGGAAACCATGTAGAACATTAAAATAGCTTGAAATTTTGTAGTTTTAACTTAATAAATGAACAATAGTAGCTCTAAAAAACGGAAATAACTGTTATGNGATAATAGTAATGGAAACCATGTAGAACATTAAAATAGCTTGAAATTTTGTAGTTTTAACTTAATAAATGAACAATAGTAGCTCTAAAAAACGGAAATAACTGTTATGTTGCAAAATGGCACTATTATGCCGCCAAAAAAGCACTATTATGCCGGCAAAATCCACTATTATGCCGGCATTATGCTCGATGCTCCACATATAGTATTATGCTCGAAATTATGCCGGCATAATGTGTCAATCCCTATTAATCGTAGGACGTGAGCTGATCCTATCTTTTAAAAATTTTAATGATATAAAACTAAAGAAATTATAATTATTTGAAATACCAGGTCTTTGATGACTATTTTGCGGTAAAAACAACCATAGCTTCACGCTCATTTTCGAAAGTGGTCAACGTAACTCCGGTGAAATAATACTTAAGAATCTCTTTGAATACTGTTCATGTTCCTTTGCGTGTCAAGGAAGGAATTTCGTCATTCTTTTTCCCGCCAAAGGTGACAATATTTCACAATGGTGTGACGTCACACAAATTACTCAATACTACTTAGCTGCGTCATCATGTTAGTTTCCAGTTTCCATTGAATAAGAGTTGTGGACAACATGGCGGACAGAGTCGTGTGGAAGCTTGTTGGTGAAATCACGGAGTTTTTGTGAGAGTTGCTTGTAGTTAAAAGCATGGTAATGGATACATTCTATGTGGTTTCTTAAAGTGCTACTAAATCAAATGGTTAAAGTGCAAAATAAGGGGCGGATTCTTCACGGGGACGTTGAACAACATGGTCAGATAGCACACGGTGAGTGGTATTTGAGGAGTCATAGACGGGACGTTTATGACTCTTCAGACGAGGATATAAGCATACGGAAAGAGTTTAAAGAAGTGATCAGCTCCCTGAGTGCTGGAGCCGTCGCTGGAGCTGTTGCAAAGACGACCATTGCGCCTCTGGATCGGACAAAGATCATCTTTCAAAGTAAGTGATTTGTTAATTTTGATTAAATCATGATCATGATAATTTAACTTCCAGAGTGATACCGTTTTTGAAAGGTTTGTATTGAACGCTTATGCAGATAGGGTGTGACAGATTCATCGTTTTAAGCTTTAATTTTGTTGTACTGTAAGTGTTCATTTCGGCTAGCAATGAGGTTGGGGAAGAGGTGTTAGGAATTAGTGAGGTAGGAGAACGATCAATCTGTGTGATGCAGGCTTGTTACATAGTTACATAACAGACAAATACTATACTGTGTTTGATGCCTGTAACTGCTTGGAAACTTCTGTGGCCTACATGCCACGGAAACGTCACGTGATTTTCAAAGAAAACAAATCTTGTGACTGAATTGGAAATGTTGTCTCTTTAAGTTAGGGTGTCGTGACTTCAGCTTTAATGTACTCAATGCCTTGAACTGCACTTTCACTGTAAAATAAGAATTTCAATCAATTTAAGAAATGGATAAAATTCTACCTTGCGGTGATCTCAAAACCCACAGTGTGTGATGTTTGTGTTCATCACCCTATGGTGTTTGGTGAAATGAAATTATTTGTGGTGCTGTGGTTTCTTGTTTGACATTTTTGGGGCCAAAGATCAAAGAAACTGATCAATGTAATTTATTTCTGAGACAACACTAGTTTCTGTCCGGACAGGTAACTTCCTGGAAATGTTGTTTTATCACTTGGCAGCAGTAGCTTTTCGGGTCAACTTCACAGTCATGTTCATCATGCAAACAAAACGTACCAGTATGTACAAAAACATATTTACAGACAATTCAGTAGTGAAGACACTAAGGCAATAACATGTGTTGGGATGTGTTTATTTTGTGGAAAATTGTTGAGGTATAAAACTATTATGTCAAGTGTAGACATTCAAATCATAGGGCTAAGAATATATGTTGTGGTGACAGTGTCTTGTCGGGTGATGGACAAAACACTGACCCCTAGTCCATGGACTACCCTAATGGACTACCCTAAAATGGACTACCCCTGAAAAATACTATTTCAGATGAGTGGT